CACAGGGGGGGGTTCAGCTCCCGTACAGAGACCCAGTGCCGTCTTGGCCAGAAAAACCGCAGCGCCCGTCTCTGGAGCCTGGCAGGGACCTCGGGGGGCGCGGGGAGGGTACTGAAGCGGTACCAGAGCATGGACAGGACTAGCTGATTCAGCACCAGTGCCCAGCCCCGGAGGGACAGGCACTGCAGCAGCCCCATCCATGCCTGGAGCCTCCTCGCCACGCTCTGTTCTAGATCTGCCCAATTCTCCGGCGGGGAGGGGTCCGTGGGGGACAGGGAGACCCCCAGATAGAGCAGCGAGCCCGCGCTCCACCAAATGCCCTGGAGCGCGGGTGGGAGCGAGCCACCTGCCACCCGGCACCCACCATCAGCCCGGAGCTCATGGCCCAGTTGACCCAGGCGGAGGAGGCCGCCGAATAAACCTCCTGGCAGGCCGCCACCCGCTCCAGATCGTCCGGGCCCTGGACCGCGAGGAGCACGTTGTGGGCGTACGCCGAGAGGACCAGCCGCAGCGCCGGTTCCCGCAGCACCAGCCCGGCCACCCGCCTCCGCAGGAGGCACAGGAAGGGCTCCAGGCCTAGCGCGTACAGCGGGCCCGACATCGGGCAGCCTTGACGCACCCCCCGCCTGAACGGGATGGGTTCCGTCAGGGACCAGCTGAGCTCAACCAGGTGCTCCGTGGAGGCGCACAGCGCCTGGAGGGCCTGCACAAAGTGCGGCCTGAAGCCAAACGCCTGCAGCGTACCTGTGAGATACCCGTGGTCCATCCTGTCGAACGCCCTCTCCCGATCGAGGGAGAGCAGGCACGACAGGCCCTCCCGGCGCGCCAGCTCCAGGAGGTCCCGCACCAGGTACAGGTTGTCGAAGATGGAGCGACCTTGCACCGTGTACGTCTGGTCGGGATGGATCACGTCCGCCAGCACGGACCGCAGGCGCAGCGCGACGGCCTTCGCCACGCCACCACCTTGTAGTCCGCGCAGAGGAGGGACACGGGACGCCAGTTCCTCAGGTCGCGGAGGTCCCCCTTCTTCGGCAGGAGGGTCCACACCGCCCTCCCGCACGACGGGGGAGCTCCCCGCAACCCTCGGCCTCGGCCCAGACCGCGGCGAAGTCCGGGCCGAGCACGTCCCAAAGGCCCGGCAGAACGCCGCGGTGACCCGTCCAGCCCGGCGCTTTGCTGCCGGGCGCGAGACGGAGAGCGAGCGCGCGCTCGGTCGTGGGGAGAGGGGTCTCCAGC